TGCACCCTGGGGAACGTTTCCGAAGAGATGTTTGCATACCTAGGTAGCCATATGATTGCTCTCTCGTCCCTCTTCGCTGGCTCAAACAGAAGGTTCCCCTCTACTCTGCCAGAAAACCCACTGTGATATCAATAGTCCTCGAGCTTGGAACGTCATTACCGCGTATTCACAATGTACTTTTGTATGAGCTTTGATCTGTGAAGGGTAGCATCACAGTCTGTGTATTCACCCTGATGAGGAGCAGCTTTGATTTCAATTAATTTGACGGCTCTCGACAACGGTGAGGGTGAGCATATGGTACTTCAGCATTACCGCTATCTTTTCCATTCCGTCTTCACAATGGCTGACCCTATATACGCGCGGCGGTCTATTATCATAGCAGTTAGGGCGAGGACATACGAATCGGAAACTCTGCCTGGGCTGCTCAAATCGCGTGGCGTCTGAGTTCCCATATCTAAGCTTACACACCACACGCAAGAACAGGTTGTGCGGCGTGCCGTTCACCTTGGGACTACGACCTAATGCAGTATTACACAGCAGATATCAAAAACGTAGAGTAGTAAAGCGTTTCATGTGTATGTTTGTGTTCGGGCCGCTTTGTCTTGAGCCGGCAGATTGTCGCGGCGCAATCAGCAAGAAAGTAAAAAAGTCACTTGTCTCCAAAGTTTGATTGTTTAGCTATGCCTCTCCTTCAACGAGTCTCCTATTTCGGTCAAGCGAATATTTTTTTTCCATTAATCTTAGTCATGCCTCGTTGCCTATGCGCGAACATCACGTTCCCTGAACGCCGGGCTCTAAATTGAGCGCGACGGAGTCTTTTGTACGGCCCGGCACCGGCTCTCTTCACGAAGTTTGCCGGGGGTGAGACCACCGACACGAGGGTGGAGCGGCATGCTTACCTACCCACATACGCGATGCCCCTCGCCTGCTAAGACGCCGGAATCAGCGTGACCACTTGCGCCTAGCTCTCTGCTGGCATTTGATTAGGAGGTACGAAGACGTAGCTCATCAGCCTGAACTCTCCAGTGTGCTACTCGTGAACGCAATCTTGTTGATGGAAACCTTCGGCCACAGATGTGAGTGGAACCTGTGATACTCTGTTATTAATCATACTGGCGACATGAATATCACACAAGGATGGGAAACCGGCCAGAGACCGGAAATGAGCAACGCATATGTAGAGATTCAAGGTGTGGTCGAGTGAGCCATGCAGCCAGCCCATGGAGCCGAGAAGCCGGCCAAGTATGATCCTACATTAAGGGTCCAATGGAGAGTGCTGCAAGTCGACAATAGCACATGCAGATGCCGAAAACAGAACAGGCATGCAGGCATGATAAAGGCGATCACATACAGTTTCGATTTAAAGGTAAAAACTGTGCGCGGGCCTCGAATGCGTGCACTTGAGGGTGTCAGAGCAGATACAGAAAGACGGTGTAAGTGGGCGGTCGGGCAAACTGTATGAAGTTTCATGGCTGGTCAAGTGTGGCGGTTGGATGGGTAAAAGTGGACGCGCCGACGTCAACCTGCCGGGAGGGGCTACCGGGGCTGGAATACAGAGCTCCCATTGGCTTCAGCCCCTGTCGTAAAACGGCGAGGGTGAGGCTGATGATGTAACCGATCTCGATGTGGCTCAGCCAACTGGCTTGAAATCAGGATTTCGCAACGATGAGTGACGTTGAGCTCGATCGCCTCCAGCACACCTGGCGCTGCTTACCTGTTTTCGAACCTAATGGGAATGCTACAAATATGAGTCCAGTTTGCCGTCTGTCGCTATTGGCATTTGTGTCCCTATTATCTCTCATCAGCTAAATTACGCCCTATTTAGCACCACGACTACTCCAACTATCACCAATCAACCCCATTCACTAAGTTGAGACAACTTAGTGTCGCTCTTAGCTTTAAGTCCAACCTCAGAACTATCCCCACACGCTACCAAAAATGTCCGACGTCGAGCAACAGGAGCAGCCTCAGGAGCAGCAGCAGCAGCCCCAGGTCGCTGACTACTCCGAGAGCCAGTCCGAGTCTTCTCGGTCGCGCTCCCGCCCCCAGCGCCGTCGCCGCAACCGACGCAACCAAAACCAGGACCTGCAGCCCATGCAGCAACAACAACAAGACATGATGCAGCCCCCCATGGCCCAGCAGCAGATGATGCAGCAGCAGCAACAGCAGCAGCAGATGATGCAGCAACAGCAGCAGGGCGGCGACGATGGTGGCAAGAGCGACACCCTCAAGCTGCGTCTCGATCTCAACCTCGAGGTCGAGGTCACCCTCAAGGCCCGCATCCACGGTGACCTGACCCTGGCTCTCCTGTACGTGATCCCCGTGATGTTTCCGCCATTGACCCCCCTTCGCCTCTGACAGTTTTATTCTACAGCGACGCGTCCTAACATGCTCGTAGTGACACCTAGACGACTTGCTATGTTACATCTGCGTTTTAATAAACATTTTGACCATACTTACGACTTGAACGACATCTATATATACCAAACAATCTACACAAAACACATCTTTTCGACAGCTGGCAAGCAAGTTGGTTTTTTAGGAGGGAACAGTGGTTGCTTAGAAGAAAGACTTCATCTCAAGACTGGTTACACCATTGAATTGTGATACTATTTGTACACTAGCTTCTAATAACCAAATACAACATTTTCTTTTGTTTTAACTCTCTAATGTTGTTCCATCATGGTAACAAAGCCCGTCACCAGCTTGATCGTTACACATGTGTTACACAGTACTGCCGAATTACAAATGACAAGAAACACCAGAACACCAATCCAACTCAAAAACGTCCAGTCCCCCAACATACAAGCTGCTCCTGAATCCAGCTAACTGCCTCCCTATCCTCAACCCACGACGCTCACCTCCTCCTGCCTCCCCTCCCCTCCCCCACAAACCCATCACTCCCCAGCTCCTGTATCCTCCCCTCCGCCCAGCGCATCTCCTCCTCCCACCGCAGCTGTCCGAGCCGCTCCCCGGCCTCCCACATCGCCCTCTCGTGCGCCGCCGCGCCCTGCTGCACGCCTGAACCTCCCGCCGTCGGCGCCGATATCGTCAGCTCCCGCTGTCGCCTCCTCGCCTCCGCCATCGCCTCCCCGTGCCGCGCCGTGTGCGCGCTCAGCCGCGCCGCGTTGGCCGCCTGCGCCTGCGTGTGCTCGAGCGCCGCCAGCTGCGCCGAGGCCGCGCGCATCGCCGCCTCGTGCTCGGCGCTGAGTCGGTCTAGGCGCTTTTGCGCTGCTTCCATCGATCGGTTTCTCCCTTCTTTCTTCTTTTATCCCAGTTTATGCGCCTTTTTACTTGCTATGTGGACTTCTGGCTGGATGGGTCTGGGGTAGCTAGCTAGCTCATTCGTCTCTTGACGATGGTGGTCTCGCGGAGGTTGAGGTTGGTTGTGTTCATTTGGTGAGCGGGCGCGTGTATGTGTGTGTACTTCGCGCGCGCGTCTCGGATTTCCTAGGATGTCGCGATGAAAAGAAAAAAAACGATTCGCGCCTTGATGGCCGAATGACGGGGGGCCGGCGATACTTCACGATTCGAGGTATGATGCCGTTTTCACTCAAGTTCTATGGGTTTCTGTATTGGGTGGCATGTCATGAGATTTGGGTTCGATTCTTTTTTTTCATGTACGTGGCTACCGCTTCTCAACTGCCTTGACACACCTCTCTGGCTTCCTCCAAGCATTTCTGGCCTGATTTCCAGAGAGGTTTGTTGGATCCATGGATTGCAGGAGGGGCTGGCAGCAGGGTTGGTGAGGTCACCTCATGGACGGACATGTGACGTCATCTCTGCCAAGGTTTTGCCATGTTGCCGACTACCCCTGAATCCCTTCTCCCTTGAACCAACGTCGCTCTTCATACGGAGTATGCTGTTTGGTTTTCAATGACCCATGATAAGTCGGCCTTGGATGCTTGCTTCAGTATGATGCCACAGATGATCTTTGCACATTATTATGAGCCAAAATTGAAAATTCGCAGTAAGCAATATTGGGAGCCTTGGATCATCATCATTAATCGTTTCCAGCATACTCCGTACACGAGCGCTACCCTTTACTAGTCATTCAAATATGTTGCTCGTCACCGAAGCATTGATATGTTCACTTGCTACCTCACGAGGATTTCACCCTCAAAATTCACCGTGAGATTGTACGAGAGCTACCGCCTCACATCAGAACATGCGCAGCTTCATGTTGGCACACGGCAGCGGCCCTTAACATATTTAAATCTTTCACTTTCAGAGGATAAACTCAGTGTGACTCTTGTTGCTATAATGAGTCGCCCCAAGCACGCTTCTGATGGACTTCATCTCTCGAGAGCTGTATGGGCGTATAATAGTACCCGGGCTTTCGACGACCAAGCAGTTTCACGAGGTTCGAACTATACAAAATCGATCGACTTCGTAGTCAGGGCTGGTCTAAAGTATGCACGGTCATGGAAAATCGAATCAGGCAGAGGTAAGGGTTTGGTCTTTGGCCCATAATAGACCCCACTGCTCGCCAAAGACTGTTAGTTTATAGAGAGTATATGACCGACCTCAGATGGCCGCCTTCCGAGGGATACGTTATCATCATGGTGGTGTTGCGTAATTTTGTGGCACAAGGACAACAATAAGGGGGACGCCTCCGCACAAGCCTTAACAGCAGTAAAGAGGGATACGGTATAGACCGCCACATCTCCATGTACCCTTAGAGTCAACGGCGTGATAAACATTACGCAAATAGCCTCAGCCGGAGCTTAGGACGGATCCAGGTGCACGCCGATATCGAGTTTTCACTGCTGTGGAGGCTTGCGCGGAGCCCCCCCTTATTGTTGTCCATCTCGCCCCTTTTGGGCCATTATTGTCCATGGGCATTGCAGTTGAGCAACACTACCATGGTCCCTGAGTTTTTACTTGTTCCACCGGACAGAAAGGGAGTGAAGACGGAAGGTTGCTACGTAAGCCTGTCTTCAGTGAGAAAAGAAAAGAGCGAGGTAAAAGAGAGAAAGAAAAAAGAATATAAAAGTATTGCCCGAGGGCGGGGATTGAACCCACGCCTACAGACCCTGAGATTATCAGGTGCCTGTCGTCTTCTCACTCGACCACCTAGGACGCAAGTCCTGAGTTTGACGGAATTAATTTACGGCAAGCGATGGGGTGGTGTTGTGAGTCACTCGGTGCGGTAGACCCCTGCACACTGCCTCGCCGCAGCTTGGCTGTTGGGCCGTACGTGCAGGTTGTACCTCCCTCTAAGGCTTAGGTGAACTCCAGGGCATCCATCATCATGGTGGTGTTGCTCAACAGTATTGTACATGGACAATGGTATCCATGATCGTGTCAGCCTGATAAACTTACACAAATCGCCCAGCCGTGGCTTGGGATAAACTCAAAATATACGCCAATATCGAGTTTTTACTGTTGTTGAGGCCTGTGCGGAGGCCTCGCCCCTTATTGTTCTCTCTCGCCCTGTTGGGCTATTGTTATCCTTGTGTGATGCAAATTACAAAAAGCAACCATCTACGATAGACAATGTCAACTATCGGACTTTCTGCTCTCAAAGCATTTGATCAGAACCTTTTTGTTATAAGCTTGCACGGCCTCCAAAGAATGAGGCAGCAAAGTTGTCAACGTTCCACCCACACCTGAGTTTTACAGTACTAAACACCAATCCATGAATAGAAAACAAGTTCATTCGACAGCCATACATACATGCAGGCTCTAGTCGCATCCGTAACTTAACTCACTTCGAAGCACGCCTTGCCGCTTCCTCGACCAGTTCCTGATTGTGCCGCATCTCCTCCGCCCAGGCAAACTTCGCGAACCTCGACTGTGCCGAGGCGCGCCTGGTCTCTTCCACGGCCAGCTGGCGGCGGCGCTGGAGCTTGGCCTTCTCGTACCTGAAACGATCCACGGCATTGGCCCACCGTTCCGCCTGTCTACGGCGCTGCTCCGCCTCTCGCTCTCGCCGCATCGCGGCCAGGTGCTGTTCGCGCTCTGCCCGCTCCCGCCTCATGTCTTCGGCGACCATTTCTCCCACGATCTGATTTATCTCGACTCGCATTGAGGAGGCAGCCGCCTCCAGTGTGGCGAGTTTGTCCTTTTCCTCAGACAGACATTGATTCTTGATTCTTCTGGTGTCTTCACGGTCTACCCTTCGACGGTCTCTTCGCACATCCTCCTCCGTCCTCCTTCTCCGGCGGCTTGGTAGGACTAGTAGGAGGAAATTCCAGAGCGTGCGGCTGGCTGCTTCCTGGATGTCATCCTCGTTGTCTTTTTCTTCCAGCTCCTCCAAGTCGCGGGTTAGTCCGCTGATACGGCGCCTTGCCTCGGATACCCGGGGCTGCTGTTTGCTTAGTTGTCGTTGCAGCTCCTCAAGTCGCTGTGACCTGTTGATCGGCCCCTTGGCACGTTTTCCGGACTGTGATGAGTCGTTCTGAGGCTTCCGTGCCTCGGAAGAGGGGTTGATGGTATCATATAATCGTCGAGCCTCGGGGTCACTTAGTGTTGAGTAGGCAGCTTGGAGCTACGTTGACGTCAGTGCTTTAATCTATCTAAGTACCTAAGGTTCTTACATACCAACTGAAATTCGGCAGTCGCCCCTGGATTTTGGGGGTTTTTATCTGGATGCTTGATTTTGGCGAGTTTGTGGTAAGCAACCCTGATAGCTCTGGCATCAGCTGTCTTCTGGATACCTAGAACAGCGTAGTAATCTTCTTTTGGAGGCATATCCGAAATATAGATTATTTGATAAGCGCGTGCCGGTTACTCGACTCGGCTGTCTTGTGAATTTTGGTCGACCGCGAAAGATTACGAGTACTTAGGTGTTCTGCTACACCGAGCGTGCATGGGAAGATTCTATGGCATAACCAGCGGATATTTGCAGCCTGCAGTGGTGGGCCTCATTTGAAAAAGATCAGACTGACGATTGGGTGCTGAGCTGTGCAGTGCTTGATTCGTTTATTTGACCCCGCGGAAGGCTACAGTTTGCATGGGCCAACATATGGCAGAGCGTAATTGGACAAACTCAACGCGAGCATATTGATCGAATATCCATAGATATACCTAGGTAAATTTTCTGATGAGACGTCTAGATACTCATTCGAGCGGGACTTCCTACCTAGTACTGCGCATGCAACCGAGATCAATCACGAATCACATCTTATCACAGGTATGAGCGGTTAACCGTGTTCTCGACTAGCCGTGTGACTCATGTGCACTTCATAATCCTATCCATTCCTTTAACTTCATCCCTGAGCCCCTAACCTGAGCCCCTGACAAGAAAACTTATCAGATGGCGCTAGTGACCGACTGTCAGCACAGCCCCTGTCACCGTCAATTCTTATCAGATCTTTCTACGGCATCTCATTGGTTTATTGAAAAGCAGCACCCCCAAGCTAGACTCGGCTTTAGCATCTAACGCCGAGCTTCGGACCAATTTCTCGCCAACATCAGTCTGGAGCATAGTGAAAGCAATATGGTATTTGTCCAGATGGCTCTACACATCAACGTTCCAGCCCCCGCTTGAACTCTTGCAGTACTGTTCTAGCATGACTCATCGGTAATAGCTGATGTGATTTCCAACCGTGACGACTTGCGACACCGGCGTGAGCAGTGCTTGGCGTCGCCATCTCGGACCATCAAGGAGATACGGACGGCATCCCTGGCGTTCACTGCACCAGAATGGATACCGTCGTATCGCGATGGGGTTCCTACGGAGTTTTGAGGGCCATAATTGGCTTGCTCATTTTAAGGTAACAGTTTGAGCGAAGGATATATAAAGATAGTACTTTCGGGATTCCCCCCAGATTGCTCGAATCATCGGCGCATCATCATCTGTCGCGTCGTCTCTCGCCCTAGTCTCAAGTACGATGTCTGGCAGCATTGAGGAGAAACAAATAGAGCCTCAAAAGACAGCCATAGAATCACATCTGCCAGATGCAGAAGCGCCAAGCAATATTCACGATGCCGCACAGGTTCGGCGACTCGAAGTACTTAAGAAGCAACACGGGGCAAGTTCGCTTACCTCTAGGACCGACTGAGCACAGCTAACCTCACATGCAGGCAACATGGGACTCCCCTCTCGACCCAAATGACCCATACAACTGGGCCGGATCGCGCAAGATGACCATTGCCACCATCATTTCTCTCGGACAGCTCGTGACCCTCATGTCCGCCAGCATGACGGCCGCCGCGCTGGACGACATCTCTTCGGACCTCGGCATCGGCACCGCGGCGGCGCAGATCAGCTTCTCGATCTACTTCCTGGGCCTGGCCTTCGGCCCGTTCCCCATCGCCGCCGTCGCCGAGATGAACGGCCGCAAGAACATCTGGGTCGCGTCGAACCTGTGGTACGTGCTGTGGAACGCGCTCTGCCCCGTCGGCCACTCCAAGGGCTTGATGATCGCGGGGAGGTTCCTCGCCGCCACCGGGGCCAGCGCCGGGATCACGGTAAGTAAATTGTGTGCCCCGGAGATCGTACGCGCAGCCAAGACTCATGTATTCGCGATGACAGCTCACGGGCCCTATCATGGCGGATCTGTACGAAGCCAAAGATCGCGGCAAGTCGCTGGCTCTCGCCTCGTTTCTCCCCTACCTAGGACCGGCCCTCGGTCCCATCGTCGGCGGCGTGGTAGCGCAGCTCGTTGACTGGCCCTGGCTTTTCTGGGTCATGAGCATCTTCAACGCCTTCGTCACTCTCATCGGTGCAATCTTTCTCAGGGAGTCCTACACGCCGCTCCTGCTGCGCCGAAAAGCGCAAGCCCAATCCGGCCGGCCCGCGGATCCGTCCGCCACGGTATGGAAGTGGGCCTTATGGCACGACGTCCTGTCGCGCCTCGGCACCAACCTCATGCGCCCCTTGCGGATCCTCATCAGGCGACCTGTGATGCAGGTCATATCTCTCACGACGGGCCTCAACTTCGGCATCTACACGCTCACGCTGTCGACCTTCGCCACACTCTGGATCGACGCGTACGGCGACTCGAAGCTGACGAGCAGCTTGCATTACATCTCCATCGCCATCGGCGGCACCCTCTCGGCGCAGGTCGGGGGCCGCGCCATGGACTGGCTCTACCACCGCCTCCGCCGGCATCATACCGGCGGCGACCCCGATGCCGGCGCGCCGCTCGCGCCGGGCAAGCCCGAGTACCGCGCCCCCTACATGGTCTTCGGGACGGTGCTCCAGTCGGCGGGCCTGCTCTGGTACGGCTGGAGCGCGCAGCACCGGCGCCACTGGGCCGTGGTCGACGTCGGCGCCGCCGTCTTCACGTGCGGGGGCTTCGTCCTGTCCCAGGCGCTGCTGGCGTACACGCTGGACGAGTTCGCCGAGTACGGGGCGTCGGCGAACGCGGCGATGCGGGTGCTGTCGCAGATCTTCGGGTTCGTGTTCCCTATCTTCGCGCCCCGGCTGTACGAGGTGCTCGGCTACGGGTGGGGCAACAGCCTTCTGGCTCTCATCTTCATAGTAATGGCGTTTCCCGTGCCGATATGTTTGTGGTACTGGGGCGATAGACTGAGGGCTCTGGGGAGGCCGGCGATGCATGAGCAGTAGTAGGGGTTACGTGTAGGCACGATGTATCACAATCACAACTTAGGTACATATGTAGCATGTGGAGTTTGGAGTCATACCTCCTCAGAGCGTGACTGACCAATTTCTGAGGAAAAAGAAGAAGAGCGATCTTGCTGCCTGGGAATCTGGAAAATGAGGATATTTGGTACCCACTCAAGATGCGTAGATCGTGGACCCTGAAATTACCTTGTAGGCAAGCTAGGTTAGGTACTGGGGTATGAATAGGTGGAAGCCAACTGCTAACGGTCGACCTCCAGGGGTGCCTCTTGCAACTCTGTCAGAGGTCCAAACGCCATAATTTCCTGCGAAAATTTAGTATTTATCCTGCTATTTCCCTTCTCACCCACTGCACATATCTCAGGTGAATCTTTTAGACTCACAGGGCTGCTCCTAGTCTGCACTCTGTACATTGCCCAGCATGGGGTATGTCACCTTCACCAACCACTTCCATAATTTCCAAAAGTTGAGTTGGAAGTCAAGGTTTGCGAAGCATCTGGCCTATGTCGAGAAAACGGAGAACGACGATGACTATTATGACTATCGT